GATTCACAGGCGTAGCGGACATGCGTGATACCATACATCTTAAGCCGTCATTCACATCGCCCTGTATACACATGGCAGGCGTCAAACACGTTTGTATCAGCTTTTGGTCGGGACCCTTTCGAAGTGTATATGTTCTGCTCTCTGGTGTCTTGCCGATCCTCCCTCTTATCCCCTGATTTAATCGCTTCGCTCACTCCGCAGGCCCATTTTGCCTCGCCGCTGTCGTTTGTCGGGTTGCTGTTGTCAATGCGGTGCGGTTGGGCGGCTGCCATTTTTCGGAGGCGGTGGGTGGCGGGTCAGAGGCCTCACGGATGTTGGTTGGGCTCTCGTGGTTGGCCTCTCAGGGGCCTTTTGGGAGTCAGTTTTGAAGCCTCTTGGGGGCCGTGTTGGGGCCTCGTAGGGGCCTTTTGGGGGCCTCTTGGGGCTTCTTGGGGTGCCTCTTGGGGGCCCCTTTGGACCTCTTGGGGACCTCTTGGGGCCTCCTGGGGGCCTCTTGGGACTGAAGGTTGGACTTTTCGGTTCCTGGTCATCTTCTTGGGCCCCTCTTGGGGCCGTTTTGGGGCTCTCTTGGGCCATCTTGGGCGCCTCTTGGGCTGTCTTGGGGCCATCTTGGGCCGTCTTGGGGCTGTCTTAGGGTCCTCTTGGACCTCTTGGGGCGATCTTTGGAGCCTCTTAGGGCATCTTGGAGCGTCGGGAAGCCGAAAAAGGAGAAACCCGAAAACGTGTTCAAAACCTTATGAAAATCAATGACTTTTGCCTCTTGGGGCCCTCTTGGGAGTGCTTTTGGAGGCCTTTGGGGGCGTCTGGAGGCCATGGTGGGAATCTTGGAGCGATCTTGTGGAATCGTCGGCCGATCTTTCGAGGACTCCAAGGGCTCTTGGACCGTCTAAGCGCTCTCTTGATGCCGTCTTGGGCGCCTCTTGGGCCGTCTGGGGGTCCTCCGGCATCTTTGACGGACACTTGCTGGGACTTTCGCGAGGTATTTGTCGCGTCGGGGCCCCCAGGGGCCGCCTCGTGCGCGCGAACTTGTTATATTGTTAACTTGTTACCGGAGATCTGAGCACGCCTCTGGCCCGTTGGGCCAGCGAATTCTTCCTCTGCAGCAACACTGGCTGGAGGAGCCAACCACACTGATACAGTCTGGTACGGTACCCGATCCAGATTGGATTCCTATTCGCATATTTATCAACCAGCGTTGTTGCTGAGCAGCGATGGCGCGGAACAGTCCCACGGTCTTGGCAGCAGTTCTTGCGACGCTCAGTGTTTATCCCTCGACCGGCATCATGCTGAAGGGCTCATCCGCTGGGGAAGCGACTGCTCGCCAGAAGGACCACCGGAGGAGGCACAGAGAGCAGGAGCTGCTCGCCGCTGTGAGCGGTGACTGCCGGTGCCTGAACTGGAAGGACGTCTTCACCCAGAGGGGGGGGAGGTGCGGCCAGGGGTACGAGCACTTCCTCCCCCGGAGCGGCAACGGCACAGGGGCTCACCTGAAGACGGGACTCTTCCAGGAGCTGTGGGAAGGGAAATTGTGCGACCAGGTGTTTGCGAGGCTGGACACGGACGGCTGCCTGCAGCAGAACATGGGCGAGGTCAGCAACTCGGCCCAGGCCGGGTGGTGCTACGTCAGCAGCGCGTGCAGCTCCGACAGGCTCGACGTGCGCAGGAACTCGGCAGTGGGCGCGTCGGCCCTCGGCCTGAGGATGTGCGTGCCGGGGGCCGACAGGTTCCTGTACGAGAAGTCGCCCCCGGAACTGCAGAAGTTCGCCTCCGACCAGGGCCTCGACATGGGGCACCTCGTGAAGCTGGCGTACCCGACCATGAAGGACTCTTGGGAGCGGGTCTCCACCTTCTTCACCATGAACAAGTCCCTCCACACGACCGAGATCTCGGTCCGGCTGCGGCACACGGCCGAGCGGGGCAACACGGTGGTGTGGAGCTCCAGGAACGGGCTGCCGCCCTTCGGCGTGACCCAGGGCCTCAGCGCCTGGGAGGTGGGGTTCCGCCCGCGCGCCCGCAGGGCCGTGATGAGCGACCCGGCCAGCGTGCAGGTCTGGGCCCAGGTGACCAAGTTCCGCTGCGTCGGCGGCTGCTCGGGCGACGAGCTCCCCGACGACGCGCCCGCCGTGAAGCTGTACGAGCGCGCCGGCGCGTTCTCCCTCGGTGCCCCGTGGGCGCGCGGCCGCGGGACGGTGCAGATGCGCAGGGGCAGGCAGAAGAGGGGCAGGCACCGCAAGGTGATCCAGGTCCAGACCTGAGCAGGGGCGCGCTGCGCCGCCCACGTCGCCGCGGTGCCTCGCGCGGGCCTCGGGGGCGCGCCGTTCCTGCCGAAGGCGGCCCGGCGGCTGCGGCCGCGCCCTCGGCGGCTCCTTCGGCTCTCGGTTGGCTCTCCTGCGCCTGCAGCCGTTGGCGCCTGCAGCCGTTGGCGCCTTGCCCTGCTGTTCAGGCCCACTGGCCCCTCCTAGGGGGCCACATGCGAAGCCTACCCCTGCCCCCCACGATTTCTGAGGGGAAGGGTAGGGTTCACTTCGCTCGGGAGCTCCCGAACGAAGTGAACCCCACCCTCCCCGGCAGAAATCGTGGGGGGCAGGGGTAGGCTTCGCATGTGGCCCCGTGCCTCCGACACCCGCCCAGCCGCGGGCGACCTGCATGCACCGTGCCGCGCTTGGCGTCTCCCGGGGCGCCGTCGATGCCCGACGCAGAGGAGTGGTGCGGTGCACAGTCCGTGGGCCTTCAGAGCCGAAGAACTGTGCGCCGCACCGCGCTGCTGCGGGGCCTGGATGGAGCTCAAACGTGGTTCGGGTGGGGAGGAAAGACACACAGACACGATCCATCGTCGACCCCCCTGAAAATATGGGAAACTGTGGGAAAAGTGGGGGGGAAGACAAAAGCCCAGAAAAGATGGGGAGCTGTGGGGAAATCCTGCTGCCCGTGCCTATCTCTCTGTGCGGTGGTACGGTGCATGGGCGCCGCTCTCTCGCAGCCCGGGGGGGCCTCGGTGCCCTCTGCACCCGGGGCCCGCCGTGGGCCGGCCTCCCTGGGGCACGGCGCGTCCCCGGCGGGTCGCCCCGCGGGCACGCGGGCGGGGCCCCCGGCAGGGCTGCCACGGCGGCGCGCAGGCCGTGTGCATTCCCGCTCTGCTGGCGTCGCCCCCCGCGAGCCTGGAGCGCGCCCCTCTTCTCCCAGACATGATGGCGTCGTAAAAAAATCAGGACGGGAGGTTTTTCGCTATTTTCGGCCCCGGGGGGCCCTCGCCGGGCCTCGGGACCGTCAAAAAACGACTCAGGACGAAAAACCGGCCCCGGGGAAAGGGTCTGGACTTCCAGGGACGCCGTCCTGAAAAAATCAGGACGTCGCATGTCTGGGCTCTCGTCTCCTCAGTATCGTTTAGCCGATCCCCATCCCCATCCCCATCCCCATCCCCTTCGAGGCCCCCACCAGCTGACCCCCCGGTTGGGGATGCACCCCTCGAAACCCGAAGGGAGCGGCCTACATCCCCATCTAGGGGGGTAAGTCGGCCAGTGGGGCCCAGGCCACGCCGCTGAGGATGGGGATCGGATAAACGATACTCATCTTCTTCCGAAGTCCACGACCTTTGTACGTTTTCCATTCTCTGCTGTGGCTCGTGGCGCTTCGTCGCAGGTGGGGAACGTAGCGTGCTGGAAGGGATTCAATACATGGCGCGCGGCACTTGTTGCTCGTCTGGTGGGCAACTCGCCCCTGGGGAACGCCTGTCACCCAATTCCATATTAGATGTGCTGTGGTTGGTGGATGACGCCAACTTCTGCCTGGATGCCTAATTAAGGTTTCCTCGCAATGCCCAGACAGACGACTTCCTCGTGCGCATCCCACGGTTGAAAAATATCGGACCCCATTGTCGTTGCCGTCGGTGCTGCCTTCGCATTTTGTGCTGCTGCGACATGATGCCGAACGCACGCTGGATAACATATCATCGCAGGCCTAGGGGTTGACAGCAATACCAGGATCGGCAGTGTGCCTCCACCGAGGGAAGGCGATCCCGATCTCGGTGATGGTGGTAATATTCTGGCTTCCAAGGTGACTGAAATATTACCACCAACACCGAAATCTAGGATCATCTTCCCCATGTGGAGGCAACCCCCTGTGCTGGTGTTGGTGCCAATTTCCAGGCCTCCGATATAAGGATCGCCCGATCTTTCTCCAGCAGTCCATTCACTCTCAGCAGTGCGCAGTGACTGAGGCGGCAGGGAAGCCACGGCGAGGCAGGCTCGACTGGAAAGGCCTTGCACGGCAGGTGCCTTCTGACCCTGCAGGGGGACGAGGACCACGACGGCGGCGTCGGCGGCGACGACGACGCCTGACGTGGGGCAGAGTCCTCAGTGATGCTTCGTGGGGCCTCTTCGGAGCGCGCTCGCAGGCCTCTGGGGGGCAGTTTGGGGGCCTCTTGGGAGCCTCTATAGGGGGCCTCTCGGGAGCCTCTTGGGGGTCTCTTCGGGCTTCTGGGCCTCTTGGGGGCCGCTTGGGGCCTCTTTGGGCCTACTGGGGCCTCTTGGCGCCGTCTAGCAGCTTCTCCGGGCCGAGGGCTTGAAATGCTCTTTCGGGCTCCTGTGTGGGCACCCTCTTGGAGCCGCTTTGGGGACCTCTTGGGCCGCTTGGGAGACCTATAGGGCCGTCCTGGGCCCTCTTGGGTCGTTTTGGAGCCGTCTTGGAAACCTTTTGGCGGCCTCTTGTGCCGATCTTGGTCTTATTTTTGGCCGTTTTGGACTGTCCAGAAGCTGACAAGGCGAGAATGCCAGAATCTTTCAAACACCCTAAACAAATCATGTCATTTTACCTGTTGGGGCCCTCTTGGTGTGCTCGTGGAGGCCTCGTCGAGCGTCTTGGAAGGCGCTTGGGCTGCCAGGAGGCCATCTGTGGCGTTTTGGGCCGATTGTTTGGTGATTCGGGGCCCTCTTGGACAATCTTGGGGGCCTCTTGGGCTGTCTTGGGTTTTTTGGGGGCCCCAGGACCCCCTGGGGGAGGATGGTATTCGACCCGGGACACCCTCCAGGACCCGCTCCCGGGGGGGAAGGGATTAAAGGGAAGGGGTTCCTTTCGACTCAACTGCAACGTTGCTCAATCTCGCTTTGTTTTCCCGTGGTTGGCTCGCTTGAGGAGGAGGGCCCAGAGAAAGGGGGGGGGGGCGGCGACGGGCCAGGGGAAAGGGGGGTCAAACGTGGCGGCGACGACGACGACGACGACGACGTCGACGACTACGACGACGACGACGACTACGACGACGACGTGGAGGCAAACAGAACAGCGTCTTCCACGCGCCGACAGGTTCGGCGGATTTTAATATGGGAGGGGGATCGAGCCTGATTGCGGGTGGGTGCTGTTTGGGTGAGAGTTGGAGGGAAAGCAGAATTATCCTTGCTGTGCGAGTGCGTCGCAGCCGTGCGTCGAGAACTCCCAAGTCTGTGCGTTGACGGACCATGCGGTGATGCCTCTTGGGATTCCGAGGTCACCGCGCGGTCTGTCACCACACGGTTTGGTATCCTCGAGAGCAGTCTCCTAGGGCCATCCTGACATCGAAGAAGAAGAAGAAGACTATTGATAGGAAGAATAAGCATAACTGCAGAAACACAGACTTTCAGCGGTCCGCGCGGACTTCTTGGATCTGAGTCTGCGCTGCACCCCCCTGGCGGCGCCGCCCCTGGCGCGCGGAGCGCGATCTGTGCGGGCCTCCGAAAGTTTGTGTCCATGCCGCCCGACGAAGGCATCTATACACCATCACCGTGCCAGGCCAGGGCCATCCTGGGCCCTAGGATGGTGTATAATCCCTCCTGGCCTCGGCCAGGAGGGCGTATACACCATGCCAGGGCCAGGATGGCCCTGGCCTGTCACGGTGCTGGTGTGTAGATGCCTTCTGCGTATGCCCTTTTCTGTTTCTCTGTGGCTCTTTCCCGCTCGTGCTGCCGGACAGTGGCAAATGTCGCCTCTGGGCTTGACCGATGCCGCTCGTGTGGACTGCCCCGATGCGGCGCTGCGACGACAAGTTTTTCCGCCCGGGCAGGCCGAGGGCTGATCTTCTTCTGACCTCCTCGGCAACGCTCGCAAGCAGGGAGGAGGGAGGAGGAGGGAGGGAGGGAGGGAGGGAGGGAGGGAGGGAGGGAGGGAAGGAGGGAGGGAAGGGAGGGAGGGCGGGAGGGAGGGAGGAGGAGGGGGAGGAGGAGGAGGAGGAGGAGGAGGAGGAGGCGGAGGAGGAGGAGGAGGAGGAGGAGGCGGAGGAGGAGGAGGAGGAGGAGAAGGAGGAATGATACTAATAATTAAAATAATGATATTACTCATAATAATAATAAAATTATATTAATAATTATAATAAGAATAATACGAATAATCATAATAATAATACTAATAATAATATTAATACTAATACTAATAAGAATCATAGAAATAAGAATAATACGAATAATCATAATAATAATAATAAGAAGAAGAAGAAGAAGAGGAGGAAGAGGACGAGGAGGTGTTCTGAGCCTTCCCCGAAGACGCAGAACACTTCTCGGGAGGCGCTCGGGGGTGGACAGAACCCCCACCCTGACACGTCGATTGGTGAAATGTCTGTGTTCGGTTCTCGAGAATGCGCCGCGGCCGTCGTCTTCCAGGCTTGCGCTCGCCAGGTTTGTGCCAGAGGTCGTTTTCACTAAACCACGTTTTGCTAAAGGGGGTTCTGTCCATCCCCCAGGCGCGATGGCTTCTGAGGAGTCTCGCCGCCTTCCGAGAAGGTCTTCTCCTGCCCACATCCCCCCCCCTCGCCTGCCGCCAATCTGTGGCAGTCCGAGGGCTGCTTCTGACCTGCCCGCCGGCCCGAGGTCAAGTCCGTGCAGCCCGGCTCCCAGGCGGCGGAGAAGGGCATCTCCCGAGGCCGACAGTGCCCCCCCCCTTCTGCCGGCGCGCGGCGCGCGGCGCCCCGCCGGTGCACCGCGGCCCGCCGGCCCGAGGTCGCAGCGGGTCAGACTGGCGCACCGCTGCGGGCAAGCTTGGCAGTCACAACGCGCCTGGCAAGGGCGCGCGCACTCCCCCTACGGGAGGGAAGGGTACCCCTGCCATGACCCTTCGCGCCCGTTTTCCCCTTGCTGGGCCTCTTGGGAGGCCCGCGTCGCCACCGCTGAATTCGCTTCGAAATTCTAGTCAGAACGCACCCCGGAGAGGTCCGGGGAGCTGGCGGCATCAGTATATTTGGGTTTCCCTCAGGACGCGCGCCTTCATCTAGGGTGCCCTCGTGTCCTTGCCTCTGCGGCCTGTCCTTTGCCGTTCTCACTGGTCGCCCGCCGCCCAAAAAAGCCCTACCTCGGCCTCCAAGGGTCTTGCGTCCTTGCCACCCGTCCTCGATATACGTTTTGACTGTATATCCACATCAACTGCGTCTTGGACTTTCTCGGAAGGAGCGCCTTTGGTCTCTGTGGAAGGGCGCCCGAAATTCCAAGACGCACTGGGTAGCTTTTTATACACATCTTGCCCGCAGACGCACCATCCGAGACGCCCGGCTGCTGGAACAGATCGATACTCAGAGGAGGCAGATGTACAACTGATACCGCTGCCCCTCCATCGCTATCGTCTTCTCGTCGGAGGCCTGGAGAGTGGCGCCAACACTCGTATTGGCGGTTGCCTCCACAGAGGGAAGATGATCCTGATCTCAGTCATGTCGGAGGGAGGAGAAGCGACACCAACACCAACAGGGGGGCCACCTCCAGCGAGGAGGTCCACGATGCCTCCCCGAGCCGAGGGCTGGGGATGTCTCGAGCGAGAGGGGGGGACCACACCACCAGGGAGACCCCCCTTGCTCCTCGTATCTTCTCGCCCTGGTGGTGTTGGTGTCGCCATTCATTCTTCCTATCATGGTGGTAACATTCGGGCCTCTTAGGCGGCCAACGTATTACCACCAGCACCGAAATCTGTTATCCTCTTCCCCTGGTGGAGGCGGCCCCCCGTGTTGAGGAAGGTGCTACTTCTTCAGGCCCTCCGTGTTGGGCCTCCTGGGAGGCCCTCGTCGCCGCGGCCGGAGGCGCCTCGAGATCCTGGCCAGAGCGCGCCCCCGGGGAGAGGCCCGGGAAGGCGTGGTGTCGGTATCGCTCGGTTTCCCAAGAGGCGGCCGGCTTCTCCCCAGTTTCGGGGCCCTCGGGGCCCAGCTTCGGGCCCCCGGGCGTGCGAGAAGCGGTTCGGGATGCAGCGGCCTCGGGGGGGTTCGGCGTCACCCCAACACACTAATGCTACGTGCTCGCCGCCCCTCCCCCCAGGGGCGACGCGCGCGCCGAGAGCTCTTCGAGTAGAAGCTCCGTGGCGGGCGATCTCTGGCCATACCGCTCGGGGTTGACGATGTGCTGCAAGGTGCTTGCACGATGTGCTCGGGTCGGACGCATGCATCTAAGCAGGACGTACATCAGAAGAGGAAAAAGACACAAACACAATTGATCGTCGACTCCCAGGAAAATATGGGAACATATGGGAAATGGGGGGGAAGGCGAAACGCCAGAATATGGGAAAATGATGTGAAAGCCTGGGACTTGTGTGTCTATTTCTATATATATATATATATATATATATATATATATGTGTGTGTGTGTGTGTGTGCCCCAGGGCCCCTTTAGTACAGTACTGGTAGTGCTCAGGTGCGCCCCTGAGGTGACCGAGGGGCCTGCGGCGGCCCGCGCGTCCCGGAAAGGCCCTCGGGCCGCCGGCGGTCCGGGGGCCATGCAGGGTGGCCGCTGCGGTGCTCTTCGCCGCCGCCGTGCGCACCGCCGCGGCTCCGCTGCCGTACCACCGCCCACCAGACCACCCCATTCCGAAGGCCCCGATCTGCCCTCCATTTCCAGCGGGGGGGGGAGTCGGGGAGCATGGACAAAAGCACATGCGAAGCCCGTAACCCCCGCTCCCCCAAGACCCGAAGTTCGGGCCTTCGGGTTGGGTTGGGGTGCTCTGGTAGGTCGTCCGCCGTGCGCACCCGCGTCGCCGCTGCCGCCGCCGCCGCCGCCGTCTAGCCGCCGCCGCCGCCGCGATGCGCAGATTCGCTGCTCCACCGCCGCCGCCGCGCTGGCGCCGCGGCGCTGCCGCCGTGCGCACCCGCCGCTCCGCCGCCGCTCCGCCGCCGCTCCGCCGCCGCTCCGCCGCCGCTCCGCCGCCGCTCCGCCGCCGCTCCGCCGCCGCTCCGCCGCCGCCGCCGCCGCGAGGCGCAGCTGCGCTGCTCCGCCGCCGCCGCCGCTGCCGCCGCCGCCGTCTGGCCGCGGCCGCGAGGTGCAGATGCGCTGCCCCCCCGCCGCCGCCGATGCCGCATCGCCTCGCGCGGTCGGGCTCGCCCCCCCCCCTCCCCCAAAGCAGGGCGCCCCCCGTGTCGCTTGGCCCGTCCCGGGGCAGCAAGACAGCGCGGGCGCGTCCTCCCTGGTGCAGATCTGCCCATGGGGCTCTCTCCGCTGCGGGGGAGGGAGGGAGGGAGGAAGAGAGGGATGAGGCCCTCCCCTCACTCCTCGCTCTTCCTCACCCCTCCAGCCTGCCTCATCATTCCTCGCTCCTCACTCCTTACTCCTCATTCCTCCTTCTCCTTCGTAGTTCGTCGTTCGCCTCCCTTCCCTGGCGCCTACCCTTGCATTGCTGACGGGTTCTCCCCCCTGGCCGTCGCCATGTCCCTGGCGGAGACCATTGTTTCTGTGGCTCGTGGCTCGTCGTCCGGCCCCTCCCCGGCGGATCCCCCCCTGCTGACCGTCGCCCTGTCCTTGTCAGACCCTCTTTTGTTTCCCAACCATCCCGTGGTGCTGGGTCCTCGCTTTGAGGAGACAGCGCCCCGCGTCTCCTCTCCTCTCCTGTCCTCCTCTTCCCTCCCCTTCTGCCTCCCCCCCGTCCCCCACCCTTGCCTCTCGCCTCGGCATGCCCAGCGCGGTGCGCAAGCGCCTCGCGCGTGTCGTGGCCGCACAGGGAGCCCCACCAGAGGCCCCAGCGGCAGGGTCCCCGTGGCGGCCTGGCGCCCATTGCGGCACGCCCCTCACACGTTTCGTGGCCCCACAGGGGGCTCCACCGACGGCCCTAGCGACACGGTCCGCGTGGCGGCCCCGCACCTCTTTTGGCAAACCTATCCCGGTCGTACTGGGAGCTCCACGAGAGGCCCCAGCAGCAGGGTCCGCCTTGCGGTTTCGTGCCTGTTTCGGTATATCCCTCACACGTTTCGCGGCACCATTGGCAGCTCCACCGAAGGCCCCAGCGGCAGGGTCCGCATGGCGGCCCCGTGTCCATCTCGGCACACCTCTCGCACGTTTCGTGGCGGCCTTAGATGGGGGCTCCACCGAAGGCCCCTGCGGCAGGGTCCGCGTGGCGGCCCGCAGTCATGTCGGCAGACCCCTCACACGCTCTGTGGCCCCACAGGGGCCTGTCCCTCCTTCATCCCGCCTGCCCCTGGTCTCCCTCGGCTCGGGCATCCCTTGTCGTCGTGGTCCGGCCCCTTCGGGACTCCCCCTGGCCGCGTCGCGGTTTGCCGCCCCCCTCCCCCTCCTCCCCTTGGTCTCCTTCAGGGCCCTCCCCGCGGCCCCCCCTGCACCCGCCGCTCCCCTTGCGCTCGCCGTCGTGGCTCGTCCCCCCCCCGGGGCCTTCCCCCCGGGGCCCCTTCCCTGACCTGCCTCGGGGCCTCCCTCCTGGGCCGCGGGAACCTTTCTTTCTCCCTCGCCCTCGTGGCTCGTCCCCCCACCCCCCCCCTCCGGGGCCTCCCCCCGGGGCCTCCCCCCGGGGCCCTCCCCGGTTGCCCGTGGTCACGATCGGGGCCAGTGGGCCTCTCCTTTCTTCCGTTCAGAACGACAATTACCGGAAGATGGGGCTGGGAGAAACGATCCGACTGTCCGCACCATCATCGCGTATGTTGAATGTGTCTATTCCAGTCGTGCCCCGTCTCTTCCCCTCCCCTCCTTCCAACCCGATCATTGTCCTTCGCATCCGTGCGTCTCTCCTGTCGCTTTGCACTTAGCCCACTTAGCCCCTGGCCCCCCTCGGTGCCTCCCTCCCAGGCGACGCACGGCCTCCGGCGCGCTGTGCTTGCGGCGCCCACGCGGATCGCAACAGATCGCAGGTGCACACCAAGAGTGCTCGTTGGCATGCCAACCTCGGCGGCGAGCGAGGGGCGGGAAGTGAGAAGGAGAAGGCCTTCTCAGAAGGCAGGGGGATTTCTCGGAAGTTCCCCGGCCTTCGGAGAAGCTTCCCGTGTCTAGGGGGAAAGTTTAGATATTTTTCAGAAGGCCGGGGGACTTCCGAGCCCTCTGAGAAGGCCCGCCCCTTCTCACTTTCCCCTGGGCTCGCCGCCAACAACTGCTACGTGAGTGACGGAAGAAAACGGTATTGGCTGCGCCTGCTGGAGAGTTCTGAGAGGACGCTGGGAGTTTCTCGTCCAGCGCCTGGGTGACAGAACCAGGCTCCTCTTGTTTCTTACTGGTGCCCCTTCATCGGAACCTTCAAATTTCTTTGCCCTCCCTTCTCTCTCATGCATGGCTTCGCCCACATTTGCCCATGCACTCTCAGAAGGCGCAAGCTTTTTCTGATGCTACGCAGGTTGCGCTGGTCTGTCCGCAACCATGGGCGCGCCAGTTAATTACATTGGTACAGGGCTTGCGGCGCGTGGAAGGAGAGCAAACAACTGTATTGGCTGCGCGGACATTCGCGCGTACGTTTCCCGCGACCGGCCGCGCGTAAGCGCCTCTCGGTAAGGCCCGATTGCTTTTGTTGCTCACGTGCCCACCCGAGGCTGTTGGAGGGGAGCGACAACTTGCCGTCCCATGAACTTGTTCGGTCCCAGCCTCTCTAATGTCCGGCGCTGGGTACTCGAAGTGAACCGGCGCAGTCAGGCGTACCTTTCCCCTCCCTCCCTTGCTCCTGCGCGCGTGCTGGTAGGAGGG